CCCCCCCCCCTCCCCCTCCTCGCCCCTATTCTCTTTGTCAAGTGCAGAAATCCACAAAAATATCGACACAAGTGTCCTGAAAAGTGGAGAAGAATAGTTCTCCCGAAAAAAAAAAAAAAAATTACATGGACCAGCGAATTTTTACGACTTCCACTTGTAATATATCGATTCACTGTAGAAAATCCGATTATTCACCGTGCACGCACACACGGATATTTAATATATTGCAAGTACCCCTTGTTCTCGTTATCAATGCATTGTAATTAATCATCTTTTGCATAATAAAATACTGAATTAATGAACTTATGGAAATTATGCTCGCTGGCTTTAGTGAATTTATGGTGTGAATAAGTTATATTTCACTGATTCATTCGTGATGATGTGAAAAATATTATTGGTGTGGTAATTGGCGTTGATCGTGCATTATTGAACATTTTGTGATTAATTTCAATGAACTTGTGAAGCTAATTAATAGATACAAGAGAAGTGAACTCGATAGAGGACATTTTCTCTTTAACAACTCGAAAAAATCATCACGAGATATTTTATTTCACTTGAATAAACTCCATTGAAATTCAATGAATGAGTTTATTCGAAGAACTCGTTACAAAATTTTTTATTCAACACAAGAATAAATTCATTGAAACGGAATAATTCTTCATTTGTATGAAATAAATCATTCATTCCATAAATTCAGACATTCTCACCTAAATAAATATACGAGTCTACGAGTTTCCAACGAAAATCGTTAAAATGAATGGAAAATTTTGGAATGCAAATGTTGCCAAGAGATTCACCCTTTTGTAATTTTCGTCTGTAATTTCCCTCAATTTATATTCCAATGACTCATTCTCCTGATAAATACCTCCCCCTCAACTTTATCACTATCGCTAAAAAAAAAATAATAATCACCCCCTCCCCCAGCATTTGATAAAACTGAGGTCAACAATCCATGAATTTTGATTGCAGTACGTGAGTGGAATGAGTGCCGGTGGCCAAACAAGCAGTGTTAGCTACAGCAGTGTCAGCCAGAGTAGCGATGGTGGTGCTTACGGTGGCATCAGTGCCAGTACATCATCGAGTGGTGGTATGTGACGTAGCGCTGGGCCCAGATCGGGGCCAAAGAGGGACAGAGCCATAAGATTTCGGGACACGTGATTGGAGGACGATAGGGCGACTGACATGACGCCTGATATCATTGAAGAGGAAGAGGAGAAGATTGATGAGGAGGTGTCAGAGGGAACTGAGAGTCTCGATATACCAGATGACGATGAATTGGAGGAGAGATTCGAGCGCTGGAAGCGACGAGTTGATATTACTATTCCCGAGGAAGAGAATGAGGATGAAATACCTCAAGTCGAAGAAACGAAAATTGACGTCACGTGATTCTAATTCATTCCTCTATGCTTTATCATTCATTCCAGACATCTTTCCATTGTACTTTATATACTTTTTTTTAATGCATAGGAATATTTCCTACAATTTTTCATATTACGAAGAAACCATTGAAATTAATGCAGCAGCGAAGCGGTAAACGGTTCAAGTAGATTTTAACTATTGACCAGTTTTTAATGAATATCTCGAAATCTAAGGGAGATGGCAAAATTTTTGTCACTACCTTTTTTGCAGCCCTCAATTCGCTCTACAAAAAAGGTCACTACGAAAATTTCATTATCTCCCTTAGATTGGGAGATATTCCTTGAAAACTCAGCTAAGGGCTAAATCAACTTGAATCCTTTTGCCGCTTCGCTACTGAATTCTTTAGACTTCAATTCCATAATTTGATAATTTAATGTATAAAATAGAAATCATCGCCTGCACGTTTTGAAACCATCATTTTTCTACCATGAGAACGAGACAATTTCCAAAGTTTCACGCGGAATTGCGCCACAATTTGCCATAAATAAGCGCGTGCGGAAAAAAATTTGAGGAAATATTTCAATTGTCCTATCCTTCGAACAAATCCATCATCTCTTCCATTGTTCCGCGCAATAAGGGAGACATTAGGACTGCCACAAATTTCATCTGTACCATGATGTAATGCAGAAATAATAACCACTGCACACCGGCTGCGATTGATTGCCCCCCGAAGAAAAAAAAAGCACTATTTCTCTCGGGTATATCCACCGTGTCGAGCCCTGCATTTGCAATTTTCCCCGATGGAGCCAGTCCGCCCGAAATGACATGAATTTTTACAGAGTTCGATTCAACTCCCACTGTCTCGCATTAATTAAAAACATTTTTTTTCTCGCCTCCTTCCTACCCCATCATTATAAGTTTTTCATGGCTTGGATTATTCATACACAGCCGACGGCAGATTCAAATGGAATTATGTATAAACCATGTCATTTTCCTCTTTCATCGGATTGACCTGCCTGACCGGATGAAAATGTCGGGCTATCGACAATACTCAATCACTGGGTTTATCGACTGAGATATTAAAGAGATTACTATACGATAATTTATTGAATGTAAATACGTTGCCGATCGAGATGTTACACTTATCGACCAAGCAATTTTTATCGACTGAGAGTAATAATACTGAATTACCGACTGATGAAGGAAAGTTACCGACATTAAACGTGTTTATTAAGAAACAAACAAAAAAAATTACTAGAGGTGATAATTGAATTGTAAATAAACAGGGGATTTTTAAAGTTGAAACAATGATATTAGATGTATCACTGATGAAATTGCGATTCACTGGATGTGATGATTACGAAGATGAAAATTTTTATCCTAGAGGTATAACTAAGTTGTTGGAATAAGAGATAAGTTGATTGATAATGTGTAAATGCCGGAGGATAAAATATTGTGAAACAATCGATAGGAGTTTGTAACTAAGATTTATCGGTGCGATGATTGTTCTCTCCTCTCAATCATCTTGTAAATACTGTTTAAATGGAATATTATTATGAGTATATTAAAATATATATTATAAATGACTATTCAACATTGGAGAGAAACGCGGTGCGTTTTTTTTTATTGTTTAGACTCAATGATCGTTTTTACTCTGATTTTTGTTGTCCCTTCTGAGTAGGTTGTATTAAGAGATGTCAACACTATTGTAACTCATGTCCAAGCTGATGAATCCATTGTATGACCACTTAAGTACCTTAAAGATGTGTCTCTCAGTGCTGTCCTTTATAATACATATATAGAGATATTAATTTGTCTTTTGATATCCCAAAATCATCTTTAAATTCCTCTTGTCATTCTTATGATTGATTTGTTTCGTATGGAAAGGCTTCAATTTTGGCTGCAGTTGTGGTGATACGGTAGGTATTTTTGCTGAACATCTGGAGAAACTCAACAAATGTCATCTGAATTTTTTTCAATCAACACCTAATCTTCATTTATGATAAATTATTTCGAAATTATGGAATTCATTTGTAACTTGATCACTTGATGCCTCACTTTTTATGAACAAAATTCAACTATATTCAGGTGTTTCTCAACAAAAAGATCAATATTCTTCATAAACTACTGCATATTGCGGTCAAATTATGGAAAACATGAACATTCTATGTAATTTTACGGTTTGATGCAACTATTTCGGCCCCTCAATGAATAAAATCCTCTATTTATCTACAAACGAAGATTTATGTTGAAAAGTTCTAGTCCAAATTAAATCCTAAAAATTCCGAACAACTCAAAATCTCTTTATTGCACTGTCATCTGCAAACAATGAATCCACTTTACCCCAAAAAAGACGAATTTAAGATCCAATTTGTGGATCTCAAAGGTGAAAACCATCAAGTTGATAAGAACCATTTGACTTTATCTACTCACGTCATTGGATGCAGAACATTTATCAACATCTCCTCCCACACAATAATAATATCGACACATGATCTGCCTGATGAACCTTTTTATCCAGAATATTTACATAAGAATAAATTCAACTATCTGCCTTATTTACACGATGCTTTGGTTGTCACTGAAGGATTAAAAAAAGAAATGAAACATTGTCACACGCAGGTTACGGAATGAAATTCTGCTCTCACTGTTGTCTTTGGATAACTGTCACTTGATTTTTAAAAATATGAAATTTATTGCTTCACCAACGGATGTAGCTCTTGTACTCCTCATTGATGCTCATTCGTTTGATGGTCTCGTAACCGAGTATTATAGAGAAACTGAAGCAGGCAGATTGGACTAGTCTGGCTGATAATCCCTTCTTGAACATACTGAAACCCTCCTCAATCCATAGAATTTTAAATGTCTGACACATACTGTCTAATCGTTGAACCTGAAGTCGTGCTCTAACAATGTCTAGTGGATTTGTTATTATTGTAGTTGTGAATCCACCCAGTGTTCCAGCCACTGCTTGGATGAAGAGGTGAGATACCCAGGACGGTAGAACTCTAATTAATTCATCTGGAGCAAAATTTTCAAAGGAATTAATCGTCAGTTCAACGATAATGAATAACACCACATAATCTTTGGTTTATCTATCACACATACCCTGATAAAACGTGTAGAGACCCCACCACAGTGCACTATTAGGCACGTATGCACAGAGAGATGCGACGTAACCCCTGTAGAATCCTTTGACACCATCTCGCTGATAAATTAGTCTAATTATTTCCCCAGAGATGTATGCCCTTGATACTCCTGGAGATAAATTGAGTCCTAGAGGATTCATTCCCATCTACAAGAAATTTAGATGGATATTTGTCTTCTATTTGTGATTAAGAATGAGGTAATCAGTTAAGATGGAGACGACGCGTCTGAATGAAAAACGACTGAGAGTAGTTCACTGTTAATTAATGTAAAATAGAAGTAGAGAAAAAAGAGAGAATGTTGAAAAGAATGCAACTTAAAATTGGTAGAAAATTTCAAAACTTTCTGAAGGCTTCTACACCGTAATTCCGGCAAAACAATTATTTCGAGTCAATTTCTATTCTCTTTTGTATTTTCCATCTGGGTTTTCGAAGAGAACACGAGTTATGGGCCCCAGATAACTTAAACATCAGTTTTCTTTCCCAACTGATAGTTATCTTGTTCATAACAGGTTTGTCTGATTGTCGGGACGACAGTCTTTCTTTCAGAGAGAGTAATGTTATGAATGTCTTGTGTTAACGCATGTAAGTTTCTACAGTGCCATTTTATTTTGGTAAACACCTTTGCTTCATACCCATGCGTTTCAATACTCTGAAAAAATCTAAAAGATTCTGGAGTTTATAAAATGTATATCGGATTTTCTTAATAAAAATTTGAGACAAATTTAGGGTCTTCTGGAGAATTTGACGACTACTTTGCATTCTGAAGAAAATTGGCAAGCTTTTCCACAAAATTTCTAGAAAAAATGAGATGTAAGAGAGGAGAATCTCCCAGATATGGTGCGATGATGGAGGGGAATGGCAAGTTATGAATAAAAAAATGACCTTATCAAATACCAATTTTCCATGTTTTGTATTGACCCCAAGTACCATCAAATGTTGGCTGAGTACGTCAAAGGGAACAACAATGGTTTGAGCAACAGCACTGGCAGCTCCGCCGCCAATAAGTGCCTTGATTCTCGAATCTAGTCCAGCAGTGAATGGATCCTGACTGAGAATGTGTCTCACACCCTCGTACGTAGACACGTAGAATACACCAGAGACAATTTGAATCGAGCTTATCCAGAAGCCTCGGTAGAGGCCTGAGAAGCCTTCTGTTCGATATATTTTTCTGTACGCGTCTATCATGCCTAGAAAGGTTCAAACAAATCACCTTAATTCTCCTCTGAATCACCCTTCGAAAAATATCTGGATGAAACTCTTTCGGGGATTGACTTGCCTGTGTACATATGATTTCTTCTTTGCACCTGCAGTCTTGTTTTTATAACAGTCAGAGGATACAGACAACAGCGAACGGAAAATGACGAGAGCATGCTCAGTGGAAAGAACTTGGTCTTGTCCATCATGTCCCACTCTATGGTACGAATGAAAGGTGGTGCCTCTACCGCAGACATCTTGAGGATTTGGCCCACTACTATTCAGATATAAAAGTGAGGAATAATTTCTATTCCTTACGAAGTTACTGGTAATTTTACACTGCCTGAATTGGCGCATCTCACTGACACCTGGGCATTACTACCCAACGATTACTAGACTGAAAAATAAATTACAATACTTGTCAATGATTATAACTTTTCGATGAAAAGGGGAACGGCCATTTACGAAATTCCTTACCTAAGCCATTCAGTAATAACTTTGTGACAACGAATTAAGTAATGTCAGATATTTTATGATTTCGTGATTCACTCGTGTGCAAATTAAAATAAATTGAGGTCCCTAGGCCATGTTGCAGTCGTAAGGTAGTAAATAATGTTAAATAATAACATTAACATTGGTGTAATAATGAAAGATTGAATATGAATGCAAGAACTCTTCTACGTTTCGAATGCTAAATCACATTTTCATTAAAGACCTTTCTTTCGTCATTTATTTGTACAAAATTCTTCTCCTAAAGTTCATAAACTCTACTCCCTGATGATGAATGCGTCATCATTGACCATCAAATCTTGACCATAATTATTGAAAAATTATGCATTATCGTAACATTTGTCATTTTGCAATTACAAAATGGCCCAGGGGATTGGGAATTTGGTAAAAACAAAAACCGAGTTCATCGATCGATGCTAAAAAACCTGGGTAAATAAAACCATCATTAAGATTTACTGCACACTCGTGTGACACGTACATACAAGTCCTATTATATTGTATTAATAGACGGAATGGAGCTCAAGATCAGAGACGTAATTTCATGAAGCAAGCATAATAAACACGATATGAAGTTGAAGTTGATATGAGAAAATCACCTGAGATCGAATCTCAAGGTTCTAATTGAAAGAATTTTACTGATATTTACTTGAGACCAAACGAATGTTGGTCAGCAGTTCAAGGTCACATTACTGAGTCTCAGAACAGTTGACATGAGTGAACAACAATGGAATTTGAGTAAAATGTGGAGTGAACTTACATGATGTAACAAAGTGGCCTGAATGATCACTGACGTTCTACCGTTGTTATTTTGGAGATCGAAGATTCACTTTCCCCTTTGACTATTCTCAGTCACTCACACCATTTTATTTATTGTTATTTCCGATCAATGGAGGTATCGAATAGTGATGAAAGTCTTATCACAGACGGCACAATTCTCGTTTGGGATTGTATTATTTTGAGACTAAATCAGCGAGATTTCGCGATGATGAACAGAGCTCAGTGGAACAGCCTGCCTGAAGCCCTCCAGTTTAGTTATCAGCCGGGCGTATTTTCTATCATTCTGCGCATGTGATTTCCATCGACATGATAAGTCTACGGGGTTTCGAGGAAATAGAGGACTAGCGCCATCTGTTTGTCATTTCTACCTGATTTTTTTGTTTATCAACTTGTGATAATAAAAGAGTGAATAACATAAATTCCTGTAAATTTGTATTTCGCGGCAGAACATTTTTTATTTAAAACCCAATTGCGCGAATTATCCCCCAAAAATTAATACAAAAAAAAATCCTATCGCATTTTTCTGTAATTTTCAATTTTTCCATTGAAATTGTTTACTTCTTTTTAAAAAAATTATTTCGATGAAATATACTTGATGTTAAATTTATATTTGGCGCAGATATTCTGAACTAGTTTCAGAACTGAATGAAAAAAATCACGATAAAATTGAAGTGACGCATTCCCGAGAATTTCAATTCCCTTCAAAAGGGATTGAACTGGAATTTGAAAAAAGTTGACGAAAAAATTGGGTTGCACGGTAGACAGAGATTACAGGGTTCCAGAATACCAGGGATACCTTGTAAATCGCCAAATAAAAAGTACACCCCCGCTCCTAACCAATGAGCGTAGGGTACCGCCCCTTTTTTAGGGGTTGGCGGCGGCGGGGGGGGGGGGGG